TTCAGCTAGTTCAGCAGCAACCAATTGGTTTGAGAGTCTTTCTAGTGGTTACTGTGCTCTCAGTGGCAGCTTAGTGCGCTGTACACAGCACAGTGCCCTGTACTATGCAACTGGTCTAGGGTCCCCTGAGGATACATGAATGGGTCCAATGACCCTTTAATTATAGATCCCAGTTCTGGGGAAGGGACTTTGAAGAGTTTCCAGTCTTTTGAGAACGCCAGTCACAGTTACTCAGTCCTGATGACTTGTTTTCATTGTCAAGGATGAAAATGGCTACAATCTTTCTTTTCATTAAACTGAGAATTAAACAAATGGAGATTAAGGTGTTTCAGCTATTTCAGTGAGTTCCGCTGATTTGTATTAGCTGGTTCCAATCTGCCATTTCAATGTCCTGAAAAACTTTGAAATCTCTGGGAAGGAAAAATATCTTTGGACACTTCTGAATTAATAGGACATAATCTAACAAGGCAGTTTTCTTTTTTATACTATTACTCCAAGAATGTTTCAGACATGTTATCAGCAGCAGAATACTTGGCTGGGTGCGTCTTTTGATCTGACCCAGTCCGGCCGTTTTTATGCCACGTTTTCATGCATCTCCTCAAAGACCATTTAGAGTAAATGCATCCAGAGATGCTCTTCCTGAGGAAGGCCCTTCAGAAATCACAGCCTTGTCAGGTTGTGCTTTGGGCCTTAAAGGCGTGTAGTGAATAAAGAGGGTTTCTATAGCACAAACAGGTGTTTCCGGTAAACCAAATCAATGGAAGAGAGATGGAAGAGATGGAAGCCCGGAAGTCTTCTGATTCTGTTCCCTCTTACTTGGTGATGAAGTCTTGTCTTCAAGGAGGTAGTTGTGTAGGACTCTATGCTGCATAATAGTCTTCCTGTTCAGGATGTCCTGAAATTTCTTGAATTGGAGGCAGAAGCCTTACTCCTGTCTTTGTATTTGCCCCCACTGATCTGCTACAAAGCTCCTTCGCTCTTGGCTGCTTGCTTGCCCATATTTGCCCTTTGGGACAAACGAGCATTATCTGCTCATATCAATACTAGTTTTGGAGGCCTTGTTATGCTATCGTGTTGCAAATACTTTGCTTTTATAATTTAAAGGATGTAAATCTCTTCACAGATGGTCCTCCAACCTGCTGGCCTGAACACGAGAACATCATGTTATTACAAATGAGGGCCTATGTTTTTTTCTGAGGGAGGTGAAATATTTAGGACTGCCAAGCTATACCATGAGGGTCAGACAGCTGGGGCATGCCAGGTGACTTTGTGCGAAACATGTCAGCGTATTCAGGGTACACCAGGGACACATATGTTAATGCATGGGATATTCTGAGGTGCTTTGATAGGTACAATAAGATCTCGATGCTCCAAGGCTTGGAGGAGCATAATTGTGACAGAGGCCCAAGTTCCTAACAGCATAGACAGGGAATTTTGATGCTGAAAACATAGTTAGAGGAGCTATCAGATTTAAGATGTTTTTCCTTCTTTGCTACACCCCCAAAGTAATCAAAACCTCAGAAACACTGATCTCATATATTTGCTCTAGCTGAGATGGAGCAGACACTTTTCTCTCTCTCTCAGTCTGGATCTGGCAAAGAACTAGACGACCTTCATGCAAAGCCATAAATGCATGAAAGAAAACTCTGAAATGCTAATTTCATCTCTTTCTCCCTACACATCTCTATATGGGGGAGGAAGTGACTTGAAGCTAGTTACGCTAGTTTTCTGCCATCTGAATGCTTCCCTTAGCAGTGGCACTGGCTTCTGGAATAGGGTCAATATATGCACGACATGGCTGGCTCTCTGGGTTAAAATAGGTAAAACAAGACAGCAAACAGGTACAGTGCAGCAGACAGATGCAATCTCAGAGTGAGAAGACCACATAGTTCCAGCTGGAGGAGGACAACACAAAGAAAAGCCTGTTCTCAAAACAGCATGCTCAGGAGGGTCTAAGGCACCATATCCAGAAGCATGAGCTATGGAACTGTCCATTTAGGGCAGATTTTTACTTTCTTCTATCTGTTCATCATTAAAGTCAAGGATCTGGATGCCATCATGGCTACTCCTTCGTTGTGAGTGATACAAAGAATTATAAGCTGAGTCAGGATCAATATCCCATATTCAATAGTTGGATTCTATGGTTACAATGGAAAAAAATCAAATCTCAGAATACAAATACCCTCTGACTTCAAGGGATTCAATATCCTTAGCAGAATACTTACTTTGCTTTTTGGGTCCATCTTCCAAATTCATATTCAAATTCTCATCCTGTTATACGCTAAGACCCCACAGCTCCTATCCACTTCAGTATAAATTACGGAGTATAGGTACTCTGTCTTCTTGTACTACTGCAAAGCATAACGCACCCCTTGAGAACTTTATCACACCTTCAGTAAATCTCAGGCTTTTACTAATAAGCAGGCACAGCCCTGGTATAAACATAGCCAGCTATTTGCACATATTTAATTATGGAATATCCCTACATACTCTAACAGGATAATTATTGTTATTGTACGCTTTCTGGGAGTTAGGCTTCTGAGGTAAACAAGGCAGGAGAGCAGATCCTGAAGGTGGAAGGACGGAGGCACCAGAACTGTTTACTACACAAATCACTATTTTACTAGGAAAACTGTACCTTCTATAGCCAGCATTCTCACAAAAACTGTACAGTCTCAAAAATACACCTGCCTTTTGCAAAATGCTGACATGGCTTGATCTGTCTTATTCGGTGTGACTACAAAAGTCTACAAAGCCTAAGGCATTTTATGAATGCTACCGAGTCAGTATTTGGAGATGAAAAGAGACAGTTTAGCTGGCCCAAGAACTCTAGCAAAGACCAAGCACAATCTCAGACCCGCATCAAACATGCATTTGCTTTATTTTAAAAGAGTTGCACTTGCTTATACCTGGTCTGAGGCAGGGTTTTGAGCCCATAATAGCAGGTAAGCAAAACTGGCTATGAAGAGGCTTTCTCATTGGAATGAGTTTTAGAACAGCACTTAGGATTTTTTAATGGAGAACCGAGGATTCTGCTGTATATATTTTTCTGCAAGTCATTTACAGTCTATCTTTCTAAAATTTCTGAAGCAATACTCTTGTAGTTTGAGATGCACTAGTCAGCTTTCACTCACTAACACTTTTGAGAAATAAATACACATACTACAAGCATGTTTACTGAGCTAGTGCCTTTGAGAGATTAGACCTTTCTACTCCTATTTTCATTATTTTTGTAATGATGTGTGTCCAGAAAAAGGATTCCTGTTTATATGGAAACAAAGTATTATCCTCAAAGTACACCAGATAGATAGGAAATAACAAGTTACGCAGACACTAGGAGCAAATGAGTGTTGTCAGTGATATCCCAAGAGGTGCTATGTTGGCAAAAAGGGTATCTGGTCCACGCTGCTGGACATAGGGTGGTTAGTGATCAAACGTTCCATTTTTTCTGGTTGTGAGCTCTTGACCAGCTGCTCTGCAGCTCAAGGGGTGGCTTCTTTCTCTACTTAAGTGCAGACAGCTGGCTAGTCATCATCATGTGGCTGAGTCTTTCACAGAGTCATAGAGCAGCTGAGGTGGTTAGAAGGGACCTCTGGAGACCATCTCATCCAAAGCTCTGCTCAAGCACAGTCAGCTAGAGCAGGCTGCCCAGGAAAAGAAACAGGAAAAGCGGGTTACTTTCTCCTTCCTCCTTGCAATTTTATCTGATCTCTTCTTTTCTCCACTGATCCAACTTGTGATGCTAACAGAAACTGAAAACCCAAAGACAATCCCGTCACTCAGTTTCCTGCACGAAGGACACTGGGCAGAAGCGGAGTCCTTTCTGTCATATACTAACTGAAATACAACCCAGTAAGATAATTTATCTCTGGTTTACAGGACGAGGCATTGGGCAACTCCCCTTGCTCTGAAGAAGTGGTGAGACATTTGGGCTGGGTGGATCTGTGAGGAAGAGATCAGAAAAGATGTGGGTACACGCGTGCCCACAGGTGCACGGACACCTTGTACGCGGCGCGCACGACAGGCCCACCGCCACCCGCCGACCTTCCCCACACAATGCCAGTGCTTTTGGCCTCTAGCTCCCCGGGGGAATGTGTAACTAACAGATGTAACCAATACGCTCTGGTAGGCCACTGGGGATTAGCAGGATGGAAGAATGCCCGCAAGGAAAGGGATGGGGTGGACCCCAAAAGCGCCTGCTCCGCGCCCCCGCCCCCCCCGCGACAGCGGCGCCACGAAAGGCCCCCCCGCCCC